ATGTTTGATATGTGCTTTGCACGAGTTTGGGGCAATATGATTACTTGGTGTAATTGTTTGCATGCATAGTGGGTTAGGATGCATTTAGCAGTGTGTTGTACGTCTTTTAGTGAGGTGAAGTATAGATGCCTAGGGGTATATTGTGTTTTGTATTAGGGATGTGGAGTGTGACATTTGGATCACGAGTAGAGATGTGATTAAATTTCTAGAATCCTTTATCAGTAAAGAGACCCTGATTAGGTGGAATGTGAGAGAGATACTTCTATCACTTCTGTTAGGTGGAGACCCATTATCCACGTAGGTTGGGAGAAGTGATGTGGAGATAGAGGATTATCTCGTGGACTTAGGATCTATTGCGACCTACTAGTTAGATATGAGTTGAGTGATTAGTCTTGTGAGCTTGGTGGGCAATGAGAGGAGATATATGTTCTCGAGGTGTAAGTAACACTGAATGGAATAGGACAAATGCTGTGAGATCTTTTCGTAGGGTCATTTTTGCATGTATTGGATATGTGGTTGACCGTGGTTTGATTGACTTAGTGTTAATCTATGGTTCCATGTGAACGTGTTTTTGAAAAGATCTATGTATATTATCCTATAGTATATCGTCATCGTATGTGTATTTATTCTTGATTGTTTACTATTAAATATTTGCTTCTATTTGGGTGTTTTTTTACCTTAGTCCCAGTGAGTACATGGACCAGGTATGATATGTGTTTCAGGATGGAAACACAATGTAAGGTCTCTGATCCAATTTTATTGGCTACCTTGATTATGCAAGTGCTAACTGTGTGTTTTAATTGCTAGCAGATTTATTGGGCAACAAGATAAAGATTTGTTGGGTTTTTGAAACCCAATAAATCTCGGGCTATGATGTTAACGTGGTTTAATATCATTTCATAGGCATAGACCGATGAATGAAATAAATCCAACAACCAAATCTATGAGTTACACTCGGCCCAATTGTATTCCCTCTTCGATAGCTTAAATATTGGCCCGTTTACTTCTTTAATGGTCTAACTTAAACCCTAACCCTAGAGTATATATATATGGCTATAACCCTAGCCAGTTTCTTGTGATATTTTGTGTGGTTTTGAGAGAAAAATAAAGGAATCCAGGCTGCCCCCTTTGTGTGTGAAAAAACAGCCTTTAGAAGTGTCCAAAACGCTTGTTTACTTTTTATAATTGGTAGTTTCTTCATAGTATACTTTTGTAGTGTCTTCTCCTAACCTTTGTGACTGACCACAAATCATCATCTTTTCTTGTTCTACGTGGTTAAGATTGAATAGCAACCGAGGTGAATTAGATTGGTAGTGGTTTGAAGCCGATTGAATTAGTTGTTGATAGAAGAAGGTACGTTGGATTGAACCTGAAAATCATCGATTTGAAAATCATTTGAGAGAGCTTCCACAACATAAAGCCATCTGTGGAGAATCCTAGAGCCACGCCAATGGCCAACAGAGGCCAACGAACATTAATGGGTGAACCATCACGCCAAGGGAATTTCTGAAGTCATGTTTCCAGAAAAATATAGTTAGTGGCATTAGAGTTGCCAAAGTATCATTTCTAATTTAATGGAACAATTTTTTCATGACAAGTGTACATGAGTAATAAATGGCATTCGACTTACTTTAATCTGCAAAATTTATTTAAAAAAAAAAAAATATTCATTCAAAATTTCAAATCCAAATCCAAATTAGTGTCTCGACATAGTATTGTCTCTGGAGCAGGCTAACAGCTTTTCTCTTTGAGCGTGTTTGAGTAGTATGAAGACTTGTTGAAATAAGTGAATGATGATCTTCAAATTCTTTGATTTATATTTGTTCATTAGTACTGTTTAATCTCTACAAGCAGAAAAATTCGACTTGAGCAAGACTTTATCCAAGTTCGAGTTTAGGTCATGTTCACTTTAAACCTACAACAAACCACCTAAGTCTATCTTTTCTCAATATTTAATGTTGATTCTTCTTAACGAAGTGTGCTCCTTTTGAGGGATTCTAATGTAGTCTTGGTTTGTAGATGACAACTGTCATATTCTCGCTAGTCTCCGTGGCCTATTGTCGGCCCTCTTTCCATGTAATCACATTTCACCCTTAAAACTTTTGTGTATTACATTCACGACCGACACAATTTTATTAGCAAGTCTAGTAAATTTTACCATAATGAGTTTTTGGTATGTACTCTGGAAAATATTTTTGAAATAAGCATATCATAGATTTAAAGGAATTCAAGTTCTTATCAATACTATTTTATGACCAAACAAAAAGTTTACTTAACGGTACTTAGTATGGATTCTTGAATGATGGAAGAGTTCCAATTTAGCTAGTAATTATGTGTACGTGTTCAATAATGAGACTTTTAGTACTAATTTTATTGTTGCAGTTTCTTTAACCCTTTGTCATCTTAAATTAAAGCAAGTTCACTGGGAAAAAAAAATACCTATATTTGACACTCGTTTAGAAAAATGAAATGATCACTCTACTAGAGAAGTTAGAGAAGACTTGATGTCGACATCCATGGAAATATTGTTTGTACTACTCAAACAAAACCCAAAGAAAGAAATAGGAGCTTTTTTCCTAACGAATTGGCAATACAACGTTAAAACACTTACTTGAATTTGGATCTCACTAAAAATTCTTATATTGTCGACTTGAGAAAGGGCACCAATAATACAAAATGCCATTTATGATGGTGGTACTAAAGTTGGTTTAGAGGCCAGCAAATAATTAATCCCGCAGCCATGCAATAAAAAGACTTGCGTACACTTGGCTTGACAACAGTGAAACATTAATCTAGAAACTGAAAATGGGGCGCGCTCTAATGCCACTGAACTGCATTTTTGTTGAAAATTTAGCACGAATTCTTGAAACGTAAGCAAGAATTATTACAGCATTAAATTGAACCCAACTAACAACCATCCATAATCCAATCAATAAGTGTCACATTCTTCCCTGACACTGGAGCTCTCTTCTATATAAACACCATAATTGGCAAGGTATTTTACACACAAATCAAAATATTGTTCAAGTGCTAGAAAGAACTGATTTTTCCTTGTATTTCATATTATCTTTTGCAATGGCTTCCTCTAGAGTTGTGAAAGCAATGTGCTTGGTGCTGATCGCCGTTTTCCTGCCGGCACCACTGGCTGAGGCGGCAATCACATGCGGCACGGTTGTGAGTAGCCTGGGACCATGCCTCCCCTATGTGCGGGGTAACAGTCCTATAGTGCCGGCTGGCTGCTGCAATGGAATTAATTCTCTCTACGTCTCAGCCAAAACCACACCGGACCGCCAATCCGTGTGCTCCTGCCTGAAATCTCTCGCTGGAACTTACAAGGGTATCGACATTGGCAAGGCCGGTGGCCTCCCTGGAAAATGTGGTGTCAATATCCCCTACAAGATCGCCCCTTCCACTGATTGCTCCAAGTATTTTTCTCTCTTATATTTAAGTTCAATCATTTCATTTAAAAAAACTTAAAATTTTTAATTCATATTTGTTACGTTACATGGTACTTGATACGACTTCATAGTAATATAAACAAGATTTTAACTTCTTTTCCTTATTTAATAAAGTCAATTGTTGATGTTCAACAAAAAAATTAAAAATTAAGAAAAAAAACTTCATGTTCTGTCTAACTAGACAATTATTTATTTGTAGCTTAAAACGTTTATTTGTGTGATGGAAATTGTGGTGCAGGGTGCAGTAATTTCATCGCGAATGGAGTTTCCTGCAGCGGCTTATATATCATATGTATGTTTATGAACTATATGAATGAATAAAGAGAGTTTTTGTATTGTCTGCAGAATGGACTCTCTTTC